TCTCCCCCGACCTCCGTCGCCACCGACGTGTGGCCAAGGGGAACCGGGCTGGGAAGGGGGCGGCGTGGGGATGGCAGTGTCAGCGCGCAGGGCCGGCGGCTGCTGAGGTTGCAGGACACAGGCGCCGGGATGAGGGAAGTGTTGGGGGACCGGGGTTGGGTACGCTTTACACTGTGGGGAGCGGGCAGCTGACACACCTGAGGGATGGGGCTGGCGGCCCTTGGCGGCCGCGTCTTCTCGGTCACGCCGCTCCCAGCCCGGTGTGCGAGCAGCGCCTGCTTTCCGCGGCTCCAGGTGTGTCCTGGCGCCGTGTGAGGCCTACGCGCTTTGTCACCGCCGTACACACAGAGGGGTCACGCAAGCACAGCCTGTAGGTTCCCCCGTCTGTAGGTTCTGCCACATAAGCCTCCTTTTTCCATTGGGGAATGTGGCGTGCAGGTGGAGCTCAGGGCCTTGAGTTTGTTGCTTGAGCCTTCTGGATGTTTGGCAGGTCAGTTAAAGTGGTGATTGAGCGTGGCAAGTGGGAGCCTGGTGAATCGCCGTGCCGGCTCGGGTTCAATGCTTACTAGTTCTTTACAGAAATAATGCAGACCTGTGCCGGCCCCCTTGAGAGGCAAGACTCTCACAGAGACTGCATTTTCTCACTACCTGCTTGCTATGTCCTCCCCAAGAATGCAGGTGGATATGCTTTTGTATGCAGCGTCACTGTCCCGAAGGATAGTCAGGGAAAATCTGTGAGAGATTAGCAAGAAAAGATATTCCTGTGTGGGACAGTCACAGAGCAGTATCCTCCATCACTGGAGATACTGTAGTGCAGCAAGTGTTCACATGTTTTGTTTTCGTTCCACATCAGAAAATGGGCTCTGCTTAAACACCATCCCAGAGGAGGATGAGGACATAGGAGCTAATAAAACAGCTGTTTTTTTCTCCCAATCCTGTTTTTGAGTGGAGGCAGAGTAATATTTTTTTGATAGGTGAGGGATAGAGTCAGTTATTCACGTAATATCATACTTGCTTTCTAATTTACAGAAAGGAGGAACTGAGAAGCCGGAGGTATGCATAAAGCACGTATATCTTGAGAGGAGAGACCGTTGTGCCAACAGTGTTCCTTCCACCAATTCTGAGGAGGAGAGAGAGTTTCTTCCATATCTGACAGTAGTGCTCTATTCCAGGTAGTAAAGTCAAATGCAGACAGTAAAATCTCCTTTGTTTAGACATTTGGAGAATGAGAATGGCAGGTTTCTCTCCCTTTGGATAGTAGGTGAGAAAATTCCTAGAGTAACATGTTTTCTTGGCAGTTTGGCAAGTGAACATCTTACTTAAAATTTTGCTGTGATACTTACTACAGATCTTTTTCAGATAAAGAAAAAAAATATTTTCATATCCAGGATAAAGAGCATGTGACATTTTGTTAATACTTACTCCCAGAAAGTTGAGCTGTTCACAGAAAGCAGTAGAATAAATTCTCTAATAGGAGAAACACATTCTGTCTTGTTTGATACCCCATTTGTTTGTGGGCCAGGATTTGCTGAACAAACTACTTGGCACTTGATTTATGATAAAATGATTATTGCTCTTTATTGCATACTGTCGACTTCTGGAATACAAAGCAAAATCCAAGAAATTCTGACCAATAATTAGATGGATAATGGCATGACTGCATGTCACGGGGGTCAGTGCCATCTTGCTTTGTTTGTGATTGCTAGTCTCTGAATCTTTCTGGAACTTACTGCCTTATTCTTAGAATGCAATCTGTTTATGACAGGGATTATTTTGTGTCCGTGTTTATTTTTAGAAAGCACATAACCAAGTGGTCTTGGTCCCTAACAGAAGTCTTTAGTTCCAAAACAAGAAACATAATAACAGATTGCAGATTTGATTTAAAGTTGTATTTGACTAGTTCTAAATTACAAATACCATCCAGCATCTGTTCAGTTGGTGTTAAATGAATTAGTTGAGTTTGGTTCATGTCACAGAAAACAATCCTCGTGATTGAAGTATTTGCATTTTTGTTGGTCATAGTAGTAGTGATGTCAGGCATCAGTTTCTGCATTGGAAATTGGCCTATGTTTATCACTTGACAGAGTAACAGGTCAGTAGAGAACAGAGATTGTTGATGTAATTAGTTTTTCAAGTGTTCACATTTTAAAATCATGATTTGTAAATTACTTAAGGTATATCATAAAATTCCAGCTGAACTGATGCAGCACTATAGTAGTTTTTTTACTCAAGATGAGCAGTAAATAATGTGACAGTCTTGCTTAAACCATAGTTGTGGTAGGTGATGTCTGCTTTTCTCCTGGGTGAGTACATTTTAGTTGTGACCGTGGAGGGTCTGATGTCATAGGCTTGAATAAGTTCTGCTTTTTTTATATTTTACCTTAAAAATATGCATGTTGATAATGTATTCATTGTTTTTTCTAAGATGCTTCATGCTGAAAATAGAATAAGGCTCTCGGAGTGTCACGATGAAATAAAAACTGAACCATATTCTAAAAGGATGAAGTCAACAGAAGGGACTTACGAGAAACTCCCTGATGATGATAACCAAGGTATTCAGCAGGAGGTGGATGCTGAGAGAACATCAAGTGATTGGATATCAGCGTGTGCCTCAGATAACCAAGGGCAACATGAAATGCAGAAGCAGGAGAAAATACTGACTGGTGTCTTGGGATCATTGAATGAAGTTCTCCTTGAAAATAATCCAGTGCTTAGTCAACCAGTTGATTTAGAAACTCCGCAGAATGTAAATCCTCCATTTGCATCAGTAAATGACACTAAAGTTGAAGAAGAGAAAGACCCTTTTATTACAAATAATGCCGGTGAAGATAATAGTAAAAAAAGTAGTACATCATTATCAGTAAATAGAAATGCATCAGATGAAGATTTTTTTACAAGCACAGAATTTATAGGACCTATTTACAAGCCTGCCAAAAGTAACAAACAGGATGAATCTGGCAGTTGCAATGAATGTAGAAGCAATGGGGGAGATGAGAATGAATTACATGAAAACAGACCTAAAAGAAAGGAGGCTAAGAAGATGCAGGCTGTTTCTGCCACTGTACCAGAAATAGATGATGAACTAGACCAGTTCTATAAAGAAATTCATCAGCTGGAAAATGAACATTTAGATACTAGTCCTCAGGGAAAAGAAAGTGAAATTTCTCAGGAACAACAGTCTCCATATAACTGTAGTCAAAGCTCACAGGAGGATTGTCAACACATATTGTTGGACAGCCCACAGCCATTTTATGAGAATGGACAGCGTTTTCTTGGGGAACAGAACAGTCAGAAAACTAGCAATGAGCAGCAGTTTGTTGTGGAAACAGATGGCTGGAAAACCGAAAATGCCTTTAATGGCCAAGTAGATGCTAAATGTTGGAACTGCTCAGTGCCTGAATTCAGACCTGCTTGGCAGACTAGAGCATCTTTCGTAGTACCTCAGGGTCCTTTTCTTCCTAGACTGAACCCTCAGTCCCGTTTTCAGACACTTAATTCCCCACCACAAATTCCAAATGCTCTCCCTTTTCAGAATGGGGAACTTTGTTATGAAAATCGTCGTAGTTACTATAGAAATACTGATATCAACAATCACAGTCCACTGCTTGATCAAAATACCAGCTATGCTAGTCATATTGACATCCATACTACTCAGGTCTTCAGAAATGAAAATAATGACCAGAAGGGACCCCAAAATAATGGTTTCTGTGAAACCAGAGAAGAGTGTTGGAAGGATCCAAAAGCCGACAATACAGAAGGAATGTGCAGCTTTTCTTCCTTGCAGTTATCTGAAGAAAGATTTGGTTGTGCACAGAAATTTCTTCTAATCTTAAGAGGCCTACCTGGTTCAGGGAAATCTACACTTTCTCGGTAAGTAAAGACTTAAAACTTGAAAAGTTTATTCAAATAAAAATTTTTAAGAATTTAGAAATGTCTGTAAACACTTAGCAAACTTTTAAGTTTGTAAATTAGGCTACTAAAATGCAGTAATTTAGTATTTGCTGTCATTCATACTTGATGAGTGCAAATGACAGTAAATATTAAAAGTATTTAGTTGGGGATTTTGTCTTCTTTAGAGGTTTGATGACCAGGAGCTGCTTTGTGTTAAAATGTTGTGTATCCATTAAATTGCATACTCGTTTATTCTGAGGCTTTCAGGTGTACTAGTATGTGATGGTCCGCTTTTTTTTTTTTAATTCTTAAATTCCTTCATTTAAAAAAAACTTCCGTTAAATCTAACAGCATCAGTTTGACTGAACCAGGAGTACAATTTTATTTCCACACAAAAATTTTCATTAGAAGAATTCTGCTACTCTGAGGATCCTTGTTTTCAGTGTGGTGATGGAACTGATCATCATCATTCCCTTTTTTTCATAGTATGGTCTGTCAACTGCTCAGTTTATTTGTGAACACACAAGAAAAATACTAATTTTTTCTTAAAAATATACTTGTTGATTTCTGGCAGGGTTAAAAGCAGATGCCATCTCCAACTTGGATTTTCACTTTGGGTTTTTTTGACCTAATTTAAAAAGCGCAGAAGTTGACATAGAGCGCAGACACTACCTGTATTCATTTCTTGTATTAAAAAAAAAGTTACTAAATCAGTACTTACTGATTGAGTTTCATCCAGAAACTACATCAGAAATGGGATGTCTTCTGTGGTTTTGTTCTGTTGTATGCTAGGAGTCTGAAATAGATACAGTGATCATGTTCTTACTTACTTTTTGTATAAAGGAGTAACATTCTGTTTGTGGGGTTTTTCCTGATATTTAGGAGACCGTGATCTCCGTATCATAGCTAGAAATCTCTTAACAGATATTTTCTTACATGTTTGAGTAATTTTAACTATAATATTTTATAGTTACTGGTTGCTGTATTTTGCAAACCTGCATAATGCCCGTGTGGTATTATTGCAGTAATTCATTTATTATGTGAAAGCAACATAGAAAATTTAAAAAATAACACTGTGGAAAAAATATTACCTCATTCAATGCAGGAATTGGATAATACTTAATATAAAGATACTAGATATTTTTTTTCCATGTTTGGTGTGCTAACTTGTCTCAGAATCTTTCTCGAAATATATGACTCATGTTTTCTGAAAAATTCTAAGTATCTTGAGGTTTTTACGAACACATATTTGTGCTTTTTTCATCTCTCGCTAGTGAGATCAATTACTAATTTTATTTAACATATGGGAAAGTGAGTACTATGAAATCAAGGTCAAGAATAGTTACCAAATGTGAGTGCAGAATTTGAACCGTGTGGAACTTGTTTTTCAGTATATTCAGTTACATACAGTTTCATATGTTCAATGCTTGGTTGCAATTGCAAATTCCCATGAAATCATGTCTCAGGGTCTTAGATACCTTGGGGAAAAAAGTCCCAGAATTAATGGCTGCCTATGGGGAAAATACTTGTATTATTAGTTAAGTCTTATTCTTAATAAAGTTGAACATATTTTTCTGTGTAACATCATAAAATTTTTCTGTGTGGACTAGGACAATGTCATCTGAGGTCATATTAGTACCCACAGGTGTCTTTGCAAATGTGTTATCTTTAGCACCTGCAGACAAACCCCTACCCCTTTTGTGAGCAACATGGCTGTTAAGGAGAGGCAGAAAGTTGACATCTATGTGGATCAGCACTAGAGGAGAATGAGGTGCATCTTGCAAGTGGATTTCCCAAGTATGAAATGACAGCAGGGCCAGTAGTTAGACCTAGGAATCTTGAATTTCTATTTGCATTTTGTGCAAAGTGTTTTGTGCAAAGTGAGTACAGACTCTTTTTGTCCTGCTCACAAACTTCAGCCGTATGTGTCCTGAATCTTCCACTGAAGTTTGTGTTTTGTTTTGACTCTTCCATTCCAAATAAGCAGTTGGAATCATAGGCATGTTTTTTGGAAGAAGCTAGTGGAGATCAACTAGTCCATCATTCTGCTTGGAGTGGGTCTGTCACCATCATTGGATCAGATCAGGTGTGTCTTTGTCAGGCCTGATCTTGAAAAACCCCCAGAGATTCTATGATCTTGGCAAACTTTTCTAGTGCAGTACAACTCTCCTACTAAGGAAGTTCTTCCTAGTCTCCAAACTGAAGTTCCCAAACCATAATTTGTATGTGTTCTGTGTTGTAACATGTGCTGTTCCATGGTAAAATCTGGCTCATCTTCTTTGCAGCTTCCTTTCTGATAAGGGATAAGTTTATTCACTGTAATAGGTTGATACCAGATAGGCTGATATCAGGCCTTTTGCTGTCTCCACTACCAGACTAAAGCCCAGCTGCTGCTAACCTCTCCTTGTAGGTTATATGCCCTTAGCCATCTTGGTAGCCATCTATTCAGCCCTTTCATGTGTTTCAGCATGTCTTTTGAACTGGGAAGCCTCTCCTGGACACAGTATTTCAGAACTGACCGCACAAGACCAGGTAGAGTGTGGGTGATGCCTTCTCAGATGATCTACTGGTCACATTTTCTTTACTAAAGCCCAGACTGGAGTTTGCTCCTCTTTTGACAAGAGCACACCATTTGCTCATCTTCAGTTTGATGTTCACTGTAATCCTCAGATCCTTTTTACCAAGGCCACTCAACCACTTTCCCTCCTATGCTGATACTTAGGTTTTTTTCATCAGTTGCAGAACTTTTCTCTTTTCCTTGTTGAGTGTAGTGATGTTTTGCTTAGCCCAGTTCTCACGTTTCTCAATGGCCTTCTGGCTAGAAGCCTTGCTGATCAGTGTGTTGAGCATCCCTGCTAACTTGGAGTCATCTGCAAGTTCTCTGCCTCATCATCCAGATTAATGACGAAGATACTGAAAAAACTGGTCTTGCTAGCATGCTCTTCTGTACTGTTACTGACTGGGAGATGATGTTGGAAACATTGATGATTTCCAGGTGTGCTGCATTCATCACTCTGTCCTCATGGACAAAAGCATTATTTCATCAGAGAGTGCATTCTGGTCAGTAAAGAATAATTTGTCTGTTACAAAACCCACATGGACTCTTCCTGGTTAACTTAATTTCCTTAACATGTTTGGAAATAGATTCCAAGAGGATGCACTCCATTGTCTTTCCACAACAGAGGTTGGCTGAGGTTGAGTAGCTGTTAGTTCCTTGGGTCTTTGTCTTTACTTGCCCTAAATATAACTTCAGTGACTTCTGAGTCATCTGTGAGCTCCCCTCATCTCACTGATGTGTTTCCTGTGTTCACCTGACCTAGACAATCCTAGCCTTCTGAAGCTCTTTCATATTCTTATTTCTTGACTGCCTGTTTCCAGTTTTGTTTTCCTGTTCGTATCCAACCATGGCTTTTGGTCTGTGCTTACTAGCTCCACATCTGCTTCTAAATTCTAAGCTGATTTCTCAGTTCCTTCTCCATCCCCTTTCTTCACAGATTCGTTTTGTCCCTGTTTCAGCTAGTGGTATTATTTCACCCCCAACTTCATTATAAGTGTCTTCCCTGTGCTTCACTCTTTGCCTTGTCCCTGTTTCCTAGCTTTGCTGCCAGTGCTGAGTTGCTTGTTCCAGTGTTTATACCACTGTCCTTCCCATGTCCTTCTATTTTAGGTCAGTTTTGTTTCTTCTGTTTCTTCTTGTGTTGGGAGAAATGTGTTCTTGTAATGCAGTATTGGTCCTGAATCAGCTTCCTGCCGCTGCCAGATTGCTCTTCTGCCACTCCCAGGTTGGGTTTACTGCAGTGAGAATCTTTGCATTTTCTATACAAAAATGAGTATTTTTCACTACTATTTTCTGTGCACATGGCATTTCAAAGTTGTGTACCTTGGGCGCCTTTACAAAAAGTTTTTGCAGGACAAATGCATGTACTTTGTCAGATCCCACTTTGTCAATCCAAACTTCTCAGAGAAAAGCTTGGAATAACAAAACATGATAAGAATGCTGTATTTCTTCCTTGGTTTTGTAAGTGATAGGCCATTTAGTTAGAGATTTTTGAGAATAGTTTGACCTGACAGATACCCAGCGGTGATACCTTTAGCCCAAGTAACAAAAGTCTGCTACCGTTAAAAGTAGATGATAATGGGCTCTTACAATGCTGGGAAAAGTTACAGGAAAAGGGACTTGTATTTTTAGAATATTTTGCTACTGAACTTGGCAGCAATTGCTATTTGCCATTCCTCCATAAATATCTAAGCATTCATTTGAAAAAAAAGGAGTGTAATGAAGTAGAAAGAACAAATATCGGTGTAATTTAAGAAGCACATTTTTAATCAAATCCATGAACGTATAAATACAGTTGTCTTTATCTGGGATCATTCTTCCTGGCAGCAAAATATTCTGAATGGAAGAGTTAAAGTGTCAGTATTTATAGCTGAATGTAGAAACAGTAGTGTGCTGTTGTTTCTAATTGTGTATTTCTATAAACTGTTACAAGCAATGTTGTTAAAGTAGCAGTTACATAGTTTCAAAATCTTTAGTAGTACTACTTTTTTTTCCTCACCATGATAGGTTAGCTATTTTAAATAGGTGAATTATTAGATTTTGTTATAAAATCATCTATCAAAGTAGGCTAACCAGGATACAGATTTGGGGACCATTTTAGTTTTGAAGAAAAATTAAAGCAAGATTTATGTGTGTGCGTGCATGCACACACATGTGCACTGGAAAAATGTGTATTGGTTTACTGACCAGTTAAAATAGCTTTTTGGTTTCAGCATGGGTTTTGTATGTCAGGCTAATGGCTTCTATCAGATCAGATAGCATGTCTGGAAAAAGTAGGTGAGCTGCTCTAATTCTAATAGCTGCTTTAATTTCAGTGCCCTACTCTGTTCAAAAGTGGGTGTTCAGTTGCAGGGAAGGTTTAGGGTAAAAAAACTGGATTACAGGAGTTGGATAATATGCTGTTCGTTTCAGGCATGTGCACATATTGATGCTGACTAATCTGTAATTTGACTCTCTCATTAGAAATACATTTATCTTACTTTTTTTCTTTCTCCATTTCTCAAAAGTGGAATATCATCTCTTTGTGGGTTTAAATAGTAATGATGCTTTCTTTGTATAGATATTCTTTTTGTTCTTTCTGTTTGCTAGTTCATGAGCCTGGGATGAATTGTACTTCCAAATACATGTTAGAAGTATGTGAGTTACTCTGTATGATGTCAACAAGTAGGTTTGTGTTTTGAATTTTCCAAGTTTAAACACTATGAATTCTGAAAGAGGTAACTGTCAGGCTTTTAAACTGTTTTGTTTTATGATTTAATTTCACAATTTAGAAACAGGTTACAACCATTACTGTAATAATTGAAATTTCAGTTCATAAATGTATTACTTTGTGATAACTTCTTTGTTGTGTATAGTGTAAGAGTTCTATTACTCTGGCCTCTTTGGTAGTCACTTTGCCTTGTCAAATTCCCTGGTTTTAGGGTTATTGCAAACATAGTTTACTATATTATGTCTGTTATATCAGTTATACAGGTTCATTAATAATTGTGGCATATTCTGAACTTCAAGGAATACTAACAAAATATTTCGAGAATAAACTTTGTTGATGGGTTTGCAAGATTTCTTGAACTCTTGGTCATTGTATTTCTTTATTGCTACTAATGGTGTTTGGAACATATGACAAAAGAATTTAAGTAGGTGAGTTATTCTCCAGAACACAGAGCAAACAGAGTCAGTTCTTAGAAATAAAAATGAAAATTAATGTCCCATTACTGTTAATTCGTCAGTTCATACATACTCCTGTAGAAACTGAATGGTCAGGCCCACAGGAGCTGTAGGGATGTGTTTATCTCCTCAGCTAGTAGAAGAATCCCAGATGTTATTTGCTATCTTTTTTATTTATTAAGGCAGATGGTTCTGTAAGATGTGTGTATATACATTCAGCACACAAAAAGCGAGTGTGGAAGATGGATCCAGTTTTTCTAGCATGATTAATTGGTAAATATAGCATACTGTAAATAAGGAAATCAGGCCACATGTGAAATCATGGCCATGTAACTTAATGAATACAAATTCCTGTTAAATATTTTATACTATAGAGGAATAGATACAAAAATTGCTACCATGTGTGGTGTATGATTTACTGGTGCCATTTATTCTACTTGGAACAAAAATAGGTGATGAATCCTTCTGTGCTCTTCTAAACCAGTGTCATACACATCCTATTAAAAGATCTGGACTCAAACAAAAATGGTTATTGATCGCTGTTCAAAAAAGTGGCTGTACTTTTGGTGTATCATGCCCTTTCTCAAATAGGGTTGCTATTTGTGCTGAAGTAACCTTAATACTATGGAAAAGGGAGAAAGAGCAAGGAGGGAATAACAGTTTGTGTGCAACTTTGGTCATGTTACTTGACATTGCACCATTAGTAGCTTGTTCTGGTCCTCGGTAATCTGAATTTTGTTGTACGTATCTCTGTATCTTAAAAGCAAAAATAACTAACAGCATATTTGCAGGACAATAAACATATAGGGATGTAAGCTAATATTTAATACAGCATCCCAGTCATTAAATTGTGATTCATAACAGATCTGTTGTTGGTGACAGGTGGCAAAACATAGCAAATTCCTTGTGTCAGACTTACACTTAAGTAGCTCTTCCCGCACAGATATATAGGAAAGCATGGTAACTTAGAACTGACATATATTTGTTCCCCTAAGACATTTGGGATCTGGCCAGTTCTTTTTTGTTCCTGCCACCTCAGCAGTAGTGCAATCCCACATACTGCTAGTGCACTTTGGTTTTAGTAGCCTGTGTGTACATTGCCTATTTCTGAGCTTGAATAGTTGCCTAAATTTCCATAGGACAGTGATATCCAAGTGTTGCAGTGGGCTGTAAATGCTCTGTGACACTAACTGGCTGTTTTCTACTTTCAGATTGAAATAGTCAGGGAGGTTTTTTAATCACACTTTTTCTGTAGATCAGACTTTAAGAGAACTGTACTGTTGTCCTAGTTATATAAAGTTTTCCTTTAAACACCAATTTCCAAGGACTTTCTGAAATTAAGTTTACATTTGGCAGAACGGGGATTGCTCATTTGACAGGTTATTGATCAAGCAGCAGTTAATTACTCCCTGGAACTTCGCTATAATCGTTTTTTCCTGACTCTCAGGTATTTGCTGGCGTGCCTGGGCAGCGTTTAGGATGAACTTTAGTTAAATCCAAAAGTCAGCTTTATGATGCTTTTAGAAGGTTTGACTGTGGCATTTGATGACACTGCAAATGCAGAATTCTTGAAAAGCTTTATGGATTTTTCTAGTATTCCTGCGTCACCCATTGCAATAGCTTCTGTAATTAATAAATATCAGTAATGAAAATTTTACAATACAGAGTAAAAATAAACATGAACAGTGGATATTGCAACTGTGTCCCCCTGAATTTCTTTTTTTTACCCTCATTGACTTCCCCACCGTGTCTTTTATTGTTTGATAAAGTATGCTTAAATCTGTCCTGAAATCTTTAATGTTAACTGTGCAAGAAGCAGAATGTACTGTAACTTACCCAACCCACAAATGAAGTAAACTTCTAGCCAGTGAAATATCTGTGATACTTAGAAATGTCAGGCCTAAAGACTGGGTAAATGTGAAATTTGCATTGCAGTCTTTTTTATTTTTATCTTTATGAATTCCGATTTGAATCATTTGATCCTTTTGTTTACAAATTTGTTTTGGTTTGTCTGTTCCCTTCCCCCCCCCAAATTCTTTTGCAAGACTATCGGATTTTGGTGAAATTGGTCTCTGTGTTCACAAGTCACCATGGAATGGCATTACCTTAAGGAAAACAATCTAAAACACTAATCAAGTAGTTCTTCTCCTGATTTGAAATAACTAATGCAGGGATAGTAAGATGCATGGCTTTCCTATCACCCTGTTAACTCTATGAGTGATAGGGAAAAGAATATAATACCTTGATAGTTTTTCATATCTCCACTTCTGTCTTAAATTTCTTGTCATCTATTAGGCTGAAACTGCAGTTCTACCAGACAAGGTAACCCATGCAGCAGCTTACTGCTGCTCAGGCAAGGGACGTGTCCATTGGTAGTTATTAATTTCTGGTGTATCACCTTTTGGGGCCTTTTCTTAAATAGTGTCAACTGCTAAAGCTTCAGAAAAGTAACCTGGGGTTGGGGGGGGTGTCGGCAGGGGAAAGTATTGCTTTCTTCTGGCTGGTGAATTCCAGCAGATTATAGTTCCAGTGAGTGCCAGAGTAGATGAGAAAACAGGAACGAATAAGACTATGTTGTCAGGATTAGACAAGAAGACTCGGAACTGGAATGGGATATAGGATCTTGAAGGAATATGGACACTCTCCTGTAATCCTGACTTTCATTAGTAGGATGATCTTGAAAGTTTATTTTTATCTTTTATGTTTTCCTGAAAACAGGGAAATAGCTGTAAACATTAATAGTTTTATTTTTCTGTTCTTGTTCTGCCCACATCCTATGTGCAAGCAGCATGGACAAGGGTCAGAAGAGGGCATATTGAGAGTTTAAGGTCTTGAAAAAAGATTTAAACATCCAGTTTGTTTTTCAGCTGGAGGCTTCATGTTCAAATTGGTTTCTAGACATGAGAATTGAGATGGAAAATGTTAGTAAATATCTTCAGTTATTATGGGGTACTTAGAACTTATTGCAGTAAAACCATAAATTAGATAGATCTAATTAGAACACCTCTTGGGGGTGGAGAAGAAACAACAACTACAGAAATAGTAGAGAAGGGGAAAATATATTGCTTTAATTTGGATTAGAATTATTGGTAATGCATGAGTGTACTTTTTTAAATCTGTTTGGAGTTTGCAAGAGGTTCAGAAGTAGGACACAGTTAAATCTATTTTAGCTATATTCTTTTTATGTGTCTTTTAATCTATCTGAAAATTTAAAGTTTATTTATTTTTGTGTTTTCCTGTGTTTGACAGCATTCTGCTTGGTCAGAGTTGTGATGGCATTGTATTGAGCACTGATGATTACTTCCGTCAGCAGGATGGATACACGTATAATGCTGCTCAGCTTGGTGATGCCCATGACTGGAACCAGAAGAGAGGTTTGAATGCATAAGGGGAATCCTATTAAACTATGTTATATTGAGAAAATAAAAGTGAAGCATGCATGTGTCTTAAGAGTCTGTGTGAAAAGGAGTATATGTATTTTAGCATAGCGTATATAGAACTATGCATTTAAAGTATTCTTTAATCTTTAATTCATGTATATATATATACATCGAATTTTGAACTTCTACAAGGTTCAGAGATAAAAATAGAAAAACTTGTTTCTTTGGGCTATGCCCTACTGATTTGTTCCATCTGATAGTAGTATCTTGATAGCAGAATTCAAACTTTTTAATGCTGGCAACAGCAGATGTCATGATGTAATACCAGCAACTGTGAAGAAAACTAACTCTATCCAAACCAAAAAGAGCAGAGCAGAGGATTCTGGTTTTTTCCATTATCTTTACTGATCTGAGTTTCATCCAAAATTTATGGAAGTTTTTCTGAGCAAGACTTTATTTCACTTGTGTAGATTAACAGTTAACAACTTTGATAAGTCATCTTTCTTAATACACAGCAGTGTCCAAAGGTTGAGTTTTATTGGTAAAGAAGTAGATACCTGACATAAGAAGGATTGTAGACAGATTCTTGCTCCTTCTGTAGCAGTTTTCTAAGAATCTCATTGTCTGTTTGATCTTCTCCAAGGAGTATACAAACCAAACAGGTCCATGCAGATTGCTCTCTGTGCTGCAGTGTCTCAAGCAGAAGCTTCTTTCCTGTCTAGAGGAGTTTTTTTTGCATCAAAAGATACAGAGGGACAAGGAAAAAAAAAAGTATTCTCCCCTTTTCTCCCCTTTTTACCTTAATGCAAAATTTATGATATACATTGGGGAACATTTCTGTATGAACAGAATTTTTGAGAGCAGTTGTTAGAATATGAATTGCAAGAGCCCTTTTGAGATTTGAGTGCAGCAATAATGAATACTTTGAATGAAGTTCCCAGTAGTAGCCAAAGGAGCAGAAGAGTTGGTAAGGTAGTACTATGTGGATGAGAGGTCTCAAAGCTTCCCAGTTACAAGACCACCGAACAATTCTCACTTAATAATGGCTTACAGCTGCTTCTGGCTGGATCTAAAGATCTCTCTAGTTCTGTACCACTTAGTTACACAGTGGTTTTGGTAACTTACAGTATATGATGTAGTTACTCAGTGATTTTGATAACAGGAACAAGAGTAGCTGTGTCATGTTTTATAGAACGCTGCAAAACATTTGCAGTACTTTTGGGTTGAAGATACACTCAATTCTTACCTCCTACTTTGACTAGATAGAGCTCTCTGACTGGAATTACTTCAGAAACTCTTGGTTTCATTTGTGTGTGGATCCTTGGAATACATGAAATGTGAACTTCAGAGGAAATTGTGGTCGTGGTAGTTGGGATTCTTATCTAATGAATAGGTCTAGATTGAAGTTTCATATAGATAAAATCAGCTGCATAAATTATTTCTGTAGTTGCTTCTATTAATATTACAACATATTTAGCAGATTACAAATTACATTTGTAATTCTCATGTCAGAATTATGGAGAAGACAAAAATATATTTTCTTCACAAATGAGAAAATTATTATGGTAAAATTATCCTCCCCCATTTTTGGGATGGAGTGAATCTTTAATATAGTAAGTATGAGAAAAAAATAGTTACAGATGAGACCCATTAGGGAAAAAAATTAATTTCTTTTAGATGAACAGAGTTTCAAACTCTCAAATTTTTACAAGACAGTGAAATGCATATTTTGATACTAAAACACATGCATTTAATATGATCATTGTAAAGTCAAGTGCACAAATATAAGGAAATACTGGAATTAATTTGCCACTGCAACTGTAATTCCAAAACTAGTGTCAGTCAGGGTTTTAGGCCCTGTAAGTTCAGTTTTGTGGCTTTGTGAAGTTTCTCCTGTTTCAGTTCATCCTGCCACTTCTATTGAAATTTCAGCTGCCTTTGATATGTTTTTATCACTGTTGCCTTGACAGATCCCTCTGGATGGCATCCTGTCCTTCAGGTTCTTGTTTCTACTTGTCATTCCTGTCTGTATCTTTTATCCCTTCCCTTAGAACAGTGTGTGTCAGAGTAGATTAGTGAAAAAAAAATCTGGAATAGTTCAGATGTAGTGGTTTTTTAATTTGCACTATTTTTCATTGCAGCAAAGCAAGCAATGGAGCAGGGAAGATCTCCAGTTATAATAGACAACACTAATACTCAAGCCTGGGAAATGAAGCCGTATGTGGAAGTGGTAAGTTTTGTTGCATAATTATGTCATTCATTACAGTTTTCCAAACTTAGCTTCACATGGGATAAGTTGGTGTGTTTTGTCCAGAAACATTTTCCTTGCTCAGGTTTCTAAAGAGAGAGACTGTTGTTGCTAACAATTACTAATTGGTATGGCAGTGGTTTAGATCAGTTTGAGGATTGACTTGATCTAATTTACTCAGCCTGGAACAAAAGACGGGTTGGGGGTGAGTGAAACTCAGCATGCTACCACTGCAGAGTTAGCTACATCTGTTTACTGTACTTGTCTATTAAATTTTTCTTATGTATATCTTTATTACATAAAACATATCACACATATTTCTTCACTTGCTGCAGGCTCTAGAAAAAGGTTACAGAGTGGAATTCCATGAACCAGATACTTGGTGGAAGTTTGATCCTGAAGAATTAGAAAAGTAAGGTTTCTCTTACAGAAATCATGATACTTTACATATAGAGATAGGCAGATAAATATGCATACATAAGTGTATATATACAGTAAGTTATATTTTATTCAATATATTATTAAGTATTTTACTAGTAGTTTGAAATGTATTTTATTTAAATAGGCATTTTGAGGCATACCTTTATATGAAAGTTCTATGGATAAACAAGCAGACAAATAAATACTGGCCCTGTTTTGTTGGCCCAAAAAGTCAATATTAAAATGTTATTGGACATGTGTAGGAAAATGAATGACCCCTGTAAGAATCGCTTTTATTATAATGACTAATTACTGTGATAAATTTGTTGCTACAGAATGCTGATGGCAAGGAATAGGTAGGAGACAAAAGGAAATTCCACATTTGGCAAGGAGTGCATCAGTATAGTACTTTGTTTTGTCTACTTTTACAGGTGTCTCAGTGCTAAAGAACAACAGTTTATTACTAATCAGTAAAAGTTAAAAAGAAAGCTCATATTTTATATTATTCTATTGCAAGCTTTTGTGGAATCGTCCCCAGTCTTCAGAGGATCTGACTTAGAGTACTGTTGAACATAGGTCATTGAACTACTGGGTTGTGAGACTGCTTAGGAAGTTGCTTATTATTCCTAGTTAATATCCTTTTTGTCTCTCATGTATCTACTTTAGGAATCTATGAGGTGTCAGTCTAACTTAGGGATATTTCTTTGTTTGAAATGTAATGTAATAGTTTCACAGTTGATGACAGAGTTCTTGCACTGATTGTCATTTTATATGCATCCAGCTGACTTCGCTTATAATTGTTTCAGCTTTGCAAGTAGCCCCTACAGTGCACGAAGTATGTTGTATAGTGCTTACATTACTGACTGACTTGGACTTTATTGTGTTTACAAATCTTTTAAAGTTTTCACCTTCTGCTCCTAAGCTACCACTAACTTTTTTTCTAGAGATGGAATGAATTCTAGTAAGTTTTTTCTAGTTTGGGGTACAGCACAGCCAAGTTAGGAGGGTTAATAATCAGACACTTGTAAGATATTCAGCATGAAATTTCCATTATGTGAGACAGACTCGATTTCCAGGAAAATTCATGTTTCCACATGGCAAAAGGATAAGCAAACGTGAAGTGTAGTTACTGTTAATTGTATTGTTCAGTCTTTAGTTGTAGGAGTAAAGTTTATGTCTTTCCCAAAACCAAAGGTTTACTTGAACTGTGAAAGGCTGCTACCAGTTTTTAGAAGGTTCTTAGAAATGTTTTGGCGGCTCTACTTGCTTTAAATATTTGAATAGAGGCCCAGTGTCTGAAAAGTTTATTTTTGAGAGCTTAAGAAAGGTCGTGATGTAAGTTTTCATTTTCTTTTTTAATTGCTTCAGGAGAGGGCTCCTCCCAGTTTTGTATCATAAGCAGACTTACTGAGGGTAGCATAAAAATATTTAATAGTGACAGAACTTTGCTTTTATCAATAGGTTCTGTGTTGCTCCAAGCAAAACCAACTTCCATATTATGACTACCTATTAGGAGCTTTTGCAGGTGTGTCTGTGTTGGTCCAGGATAGATGGCTTTGTGGTCTTTCAGCATAGCCAAGCTGCAAAAGGATAAGTGAAGACGTGCCTGAAGAGGAGATCCCAGTATTAAATGACACTATACAGCAAAATGATTTCCTTTTTCCAATTAGTTTCTATGCTTAATGCAATTTTGCTGTTTGTGATTTTATTATCCTGCCCTACTCCTTATTAGGCCTTTCCTTTTATTGTCCTGCCTTTTCTTATTAGGGAAAGTACTTACTCGTCTATGATGTGATTATACACAAATCCGTTCAATTGTGGATGAGTGTGCACTCTATTCTCAGAGCACTTGAGCTGTAATCTTCTTCTAGGAGTACTAAAAGATAGGGAAAATACTGAGTAACTTTCTGCTTCCATCACTTGGCATAAAAGGACTTAAGAGTTCCTCTTCTCATATTTTGTCTGTCATGAGTGTCAAGTGCTTTATAGTATCTGCATTTTTCTAGGGCATTGTTTTTTTTTCTCTACCATTAACTTTGTTCATATTTGTGAATGAAATCAAAACAACTGTTAAGGCTCACCAACTGATAAGTTCAATATGCAACTGCTCCTGGACCGCTTTAGCACAATGTAGAAATAAGAAGCATGTAAACAGTGAGCCACAAGTGATTATCACTCTAGCTTCTGATGTTGTCTCAGGGAAGAGTTTCTGTGAGAGAAATATTCTCCTTAAGCATTTTCTTCACAGAAAGAAAGCTGATAAAATGCACCTTAAGGAGCCAGCATAATTATGAATACTTCTGAGATCACCAATTCTGCTTCCACTCTGAGTGTGAAACTAGTGTGCTACCTGGAGTATGCTTTGAACCCTTATCAACTTGATACTTCTCTGTTGTAATAATGCATACAAACTCCTGGAGGGGCTGGGTGGTGAGGAAGTCAGTCTTTTAAAATATTTCTGTATGGAGTATCCTCTTTCCAGTATAGCCTGTTTGTTCCCAGTATTGATTTCCCTTCTACAGAACTGAGCAAGGTGGTAAGGCCGATGCTTCTTCTGTCCCTGGCAGAAAGCACAAAGATTCAGAAATACGTTCCCTGTTGGTTTAGTGTGGAAATATTTCAGATTAGACAAGATTTCTTGGTGGTAAGAGATGTATTGATGAAAAATATTGTCATTAAGTCTAGAAACCATGTAGTTGCATATTTTTTATGCTAGTTTGAACATTGCTTTCATAAGGAGTAGTCTATGGTATTATTCATCCCTCTGCTCATTAGCTAGTATATCATGTAAAATGTGATGAATGAACAGAAAGCAAAGTCCTTCTAGGGTAACTTAGATAGGTAGTTGTATAACTATGTATTATATAGTTATAGTTGTATAACATCACATTTCTGTATGAAGAAGAAGGACCGTATTGTTTACTGTTACTTAATATGTGCAGTGGTAGATTGTTAAAATAAACCTTAACACAAGTTGAATACCTAGAGAATGAGGGTACAGCATACTAAAAGTTTAAATATGAAAAGCAAGAAGAAAAAAATTGAGAGTTCAGAGGTTTTCTCTTAAGGACTGTAAACATATAACTGTGAACATGTATTAAACATGTATAACTATATATATACTTAGATCTAACTATAAAAATACCAGACAGTTAATTTCTTTTTTTTTTTTTTTGTAGGAGGAATAAACATGGGGTCACTCGTGAGAAGATTGCTCAGATGTTGGAACGATATGAATATCAAATATCTATACCTATTGTCATGAATTCAGTGGTACCTTCCCACAAAAGCACTCAGAGACCACCTCTGCAGCGAAGACATAGGTGGGGAGACAATACAGACTCATGGAATTATTTCAGTGTTTCCAGTAGCCAGTAACACAGTTGCAGTCAGATCTGTTCCTTGCCCTTTTAAAACACATCATCACCTCCAATAAGTAGTGGATCTTCTGTGTTTTAAATAGACCTCTTTCAAGACCATTTTCTTCTGGAGGTTGTTCTTTTTAATGGACTTGCATGTAAATAGAATTGTACATTTAATGTTTTTTTAAAACTATATTTATTAAAGTTGTAAGACCTTTGATTTTAGTAAAATATTTAATATAATATGGCATATAGCAGAGTCTTCCTTCATAAATCTAAGACAATGATGTTGTCATATATCAGGTAACTGTTGAGCAGTTTTTTTTAAAGAAAGGGTTATATTAGAGATCTTGTAAAAGATAATTAAAGCCCTGGAAGAAGAGGTTATTCATGTAATTATCCATTTTAATGATTGTCATTTAGCCTTCTTACCTTTTTGGAGATTTTTTTGAAAACAGGTATATGCTGAATTGTCTCTTAGTTCTGTTTAGCATATATTGCCAGCTGGAAAAACTTTGGCATGGCTTTTCTGGTTTCAGAGGTTTGATTTTTTTTTTTTTTTTTTTTGCTTGGTGGGTTTTTTCTTGGTTTTTTTTCTTTTTTTTTGTGGTCTCAGAAGCTCATGTGGCAACTGCAGCAACATTCTGCCAATACAGTATTCACCAGCCTTAAACTGTGCAACCTGAATTATTTTTTGTTTGTTCTTGTTGGTAGTATATAAACTATGATGGTGCCTGCACACCACCAACTTTTTTTTTTATGCTGACTGAAAAAAAAAAAAAAATCTTAGTTTTAAACCCCAAAAATTTCACAGCTGTATCTTTCTAAGTCAATTTGTTTCATTTGCGATAAAAATGAAGTATTAAAGTATTAGGTTGTCAAATCCCAGTCCACAGTTGGGATGCATTAATTCAATATAAATAGTGGATATAACTGTAAAACCATCTTGCATTCCTAATTTTGGCACAGTGATTGTAATCTGTTTAGCACATAACAAAGAATGAGCCAGCATAGAGAGTGACTAATTTACTGCCGTTTTTCTCATAAAAATGATGAATTTGTAAGTGTTCACTCTGCTTCTTTTTTAACAGCTTGCTGTATTAATAAAATATATTTGTCTTCAGTGTTGTTGAAGTAGTCCAGTGCAACAGTTGGTATTATTTTCAAGCTTGTAGGATTTTATACAGATAAGCATTACTACTAACCTGCTGGCTGAAATAACCCGTCTTCAGGTCTAACTACGTTTGATTTCCTTATACACTGAATGAGTAAACGTTGACTTGGAGATTTTGTCAAGAACATGAGAACATAACTAAGAGAATTTTGATGGTTATCTATTACTAAGTTGGTGTCATAGTCATCAGAATTTTGGAAAATCCAAAGCCAGCATAATTTTTTTAAATTGTAAACAATTTTTGAATAGGCCCTAAAAATTACTTCCTCATTAAAGTCTGAATATCATGAAAGTTGAAAATCCAGCTATATAATGAAGTATCTTTCTGTGGTTTTCTACACCTATTGTTCAAATATGAATTGATGTTTTATTTATTTTAAAAATAATTTAAAATGTTTCAGTAATGCATGTTAATATATTGAATTATGCATATATGTAGAGAAGAGGCTCTCCCAACTATATTGTTTCCCTCATTGTCTATTATTCAAATCAATTATCTTGCTGTATTTTAGTTTTCATGGTTATCTTTTTCCATGTCTCAAAAGAATCATTGAAATTATTGTAAATGCTCAGTAATACTTTATCCCAGAGCTTTTATGTTTAAACATGAAAGCATATTTCAAGTGGAAGGGAGATAAAAAGGTTTTAGAAAGACTCATTTTATTTACTCTGTTTTACTGTAAGCTATAACATAAAATTTATTGAGGCTTTATGTAATATTCACACTGTGCAAAGGTATGGCAAAAAAAGAGCTTCCTATTGAAGATTGATGTTATAATATCTTTTAGCACCTTTTGTCTTGAGGTTTTAAGAGAAATTGGGGGGTTTCTAGCAATATTTGATTATTTAAATAGCTATTAATTGGTACTATTTTTAAAAAGTGCAGCTTTTCTTGTGTTACCTTTTTAATTATTGGTGGGCAAGGAGTGTTTTTGATGTGCAAAGCTTGCTGATCAATAATAGGCCTGCATTTTGCAAAGGGCACTTAAGAAAGAGAAGCTCTGCAATTTGTTTCTGTATCAAACATTTCTTTTAAATGGCTCCATCTATACAGCTGAATTACAAGGTAAGTACAATGACATGGTAGGTGAAAACACAATGGAATTACTGTCAGTGTAACACCTTTTTGTTTCATTGTATATTAACATTTTATGAGGATAGGACAGTCACAGACATACATGTATCTCAGAAGTTGATTTTACACTCCAGTGTTTATATGTAAAAATAATAAAAATTATGTGAAATACGTGTTGCAGGTATTGAATTTCTCATGCTATCTCAAAACCAAGGAAAATCAGAGGAAAATTAGTTATTTTTTCAAAATATGTATGCAAGAAATGTAAGAACTCGCTGCTCAGCTAGATAGCTAGATCTAAAAATTTTTAATGCCTGCTGTAGTTTTTATACAATACATGTATTGATGAACGTAACATACCTATAATGAAGGTTTCCTGTTTTACATTTTTAGTAGATTGCTAGTTCACCATATTTCATAAAATAGTAGTGTTGGATTGGGTTTTTTAAAAATTTAACTAATGCTTAGAGCCTGGCTTTGTCTGGGATAAAGTTAGTTCTCTTCAGAGTAGCTGGTCCGGGACTGTGTTTTGGATTTGTGCTGGAAACAGTGTTGATAACACAGCAGTGTTTTTGTTATCATTGAGCGGTGCTTACACAGTGTCAAGGCCTTTCTGCCTCACCCCACCCCACCAACAAGTGGCCTGGGAGTGCGCATGGAGTTGGGAGGGGACACAGCCTGGGACAGCTGACCCCAGCTGACCAAAGGGATCGCCCATACTATGTGGTGTCAGCCCAGTATATAAAACCAGGGGAAGAAAGAGGAAGGGGAGTGGAGGGCATGTTCAGAGCGATGCCGTTTGTCTTCCCAAGTAACAACGCGTGACGGAGCCTGGCTTTCCTGGGAGATGGCTGAACACCTGCCTGCCTGTGGGAAGCGGTGAATGAATTACTGCTTTTGCTTTGCTTGCATGCGTGGCTCTTGCTTTACCTGTTAAACTGTGTTTATCTCAACCTGTGAGTTTTCTCACTTTTATCTTTCTGATTCTCTCCTTCATCCCATCAGGAGGAAGTGAACAAGTGGCTGTGTGGGGCTGAGTTGACAGCTGGGGATAAGCCATGACAAGCTAGTGTAACACTTCTAATTTTTAACATGTGATGTTAAATGATCTCCTGTGAGGAATTCTGTCTTCTCTTCTTGTAGCCATGTCCTCTTTAGGTTCATTTTAATCCAGTTGGCCATGCTTCATAATTTTTTTTAAGCTTTTTGCCTTTAAGAAGAGGGCCAGGCTTTTGTCTTTTGTCATCTGTCTCCTGAAACCTTTTGCAGACATGGTTGTTTCTCTGCTAATAGATAACTAAAAACGAGGCTTTGTCTAGCTATGATTGGACCCATAACATTTATATTTAATTATTTTGTGTCCATCTTCCCTGTTGTAATTTAGACTGCGTTGATATTTTCTTCTTTGAGCTGACCAGTAGGATTCATTCTCAGTGAATTAGAAAATTTTGCTCTGTGCTGGTACATCATGGAGATGAGGTGACTAGGTATATGTGAGAATTCAGGGTTTTCCATACAAAAGAACAGATGCATGTATTACACAATTCCCTGTAAAAAGCAGTAAGAAGATATAGTGCTCAAATTAAATTGAAAGCAAATACTTGATTGAGGGGATCAGATGTTTCATGGGGATCAGATGTGGAAATATTTCACTTAATTGTTTCTAGAGTGGCATTTGTCTTATTTCAATGTTTTATGTTCTCATCCTTTTGAAATAAAAGCAAGAGCAGAGATTAAAGCTCTTCATTAATAATTTCCTAGGTGAAAATCTACTTGTACATCAATAAATTTGTTGGGGGGTGTGTGGTTTCCTCTTTTTATAGGCTAGTTGGTTGAAATTAGCTGTAAATCTGCTTATTTTGAGTTTGTAGAAAAATATGTGGAAACGTAACTGGTCTTATTTTGAAGATAAAGTAGTAAGAGATTGTCAAGGTCTGATCATCTCAAATATGTCTTAATTTATTTCTGTAGTAATGGAGAGGCAACAAAGGGTGGTTTTATCTTGAGATGGACTGTCAGTGTAATTCTAAATCAAGAATAATAAAAGTATTGTGTCTGGAATTGGTCTTTGCTTTGTTTCCTTTTAGCTGATAATGCTACTGCTTCATTTCTCAGGTAGGCAGGCAGTCCTTGACCATATCATTTGTACCTTACTGATTTATAGTACTATTGTAACAATACCATGTTGTGCCAAGCCAGAATATATTGTATCTATGAAGTAATTTTTTTTCAGTTGTACTTGCAGTCTTTAGTGATGTTAAATATTTTTCTTTTTTTGGTCTGTTAATAGAATTTGACTTTTTTTTTTTTAAACATGTGGTTGCATGTTTTCTAATTACTGATTTTTAAAAGGCTGAATTCTTTAGTGAGTGGTGTTTAATCTCTTCCTAAATTGCTAACAGACTAAGAAATGCTGCCTTAACTGACTGAATAATATTTGCTTATTTCTGAGGGGCTTATTGTATCATGTACAAATCAGTCTTAGTCATGGGCCCATAATGCTGTTTGGCTATTATTTTATTCATGATACTTTTAATCTTTTTTTTTCTTTATTCATTAGCCATAGGCTTTGGTAACCTACACTATAAGTTATTATAGTCTGTGAGAAGTTATTGGACAGCTTATCCCACATCTTACTCTTGACCATTAATAGTTTCTGAAGGCTTGTGAACCTGACTTAAGGGTGTATTGACAGTATTACTTTCCCCCCAT